GTCTTCATTGCCATGCGCGGGCTTCTCACTGTGGTGGCTTCACTTGTGGAGCATGGGCTCTAGGCGCACGGGCTTCAGTAGTTGTGGCACACGGGCTCAGTAGTTCTGGCTCACGGGCTCTAGAGCACAGGCACAGTAGTTGTGGTGCACAGGCTTGGTTGCTCCATGGCATGTGGAATCTTCCTGGACCAGGGCTCGAACCCGTGTCCCCTTCATTGGCAGGCAGATTCCCAACCACTGCGCCAGCAGGGAAGCCCTAGGATTCTTTATTGAGAGAGTTTTGTTTTTTCCTCCTTTGAATATATTGGCTAGCTGTCTTGTGCCTCCAGCGTTTCTGATGAGGTCTACTCATAATCTATTTGAGGATCCCTTATATGTGACAAGTCATTTCTCTCTTGCTGCTTTCAAGATTCTTTGTCTTTTCAAAGTTTGATGATAAGGTTTCTCAGAGTGGACCTCTTTGAGTTCATCTTACTTGGAGTTTGTTGAGCTTCTTAGATGTTTATATTCATGTCTTTCATCAGACTTGTGAAGTTTTCAGCTATTTCCTCAAATATTCTCTCCACCCCTTTCTCTCTTCTCCTTCTGAGACTCCCACAATGCATATGTCAGTCTCTTGGTGGTGTCCCACAGGTCTCTTAGGCCCTACTTGCTTTTCTTCAATCTTTTTTTTCTGTTTCTCAGCCTTGATAATTTCCATTTTCCTCTCAAGTTGACTGATTCTTTCTTCTGCCTTTGAATCCGTCTAGTGAAATTTTCATTTCCATGATTGTACTTTTAGTTTCAGAACTTCTTTTCTGGTTTTTTTTCGGGTTTTCTCTGTGTTATTTCCATTTTGTTTACGCATTTTCTTGACTTTCTCCAAATATTCTTTTCTTTGAGCATATTTAAGACCATGTTTTGAAGTCTTTGTCTAGTATATCTGCCATTAAGTCTTTTCAGTGACAGATTCCGTTGATTTATTTTTTCTTTTGAAAGGGCCATTTTCTACTTCTTTGTGTGCCTTGTGATTTTTTGTTGAACGCTGGACATTTGATTCTGATAATGTGGTAACTCTGGAAATCAGATTCTCCCCCTTCCCTAAGGCTTGCTATCTATTTATTTTTTAATTTATTTATCTGTTTGTTTGTTTATTTGGCTAGCTAGCTGTTGCTTTTGGGCTTTTTGTTTTAGTTGTTGGAGGCCGTGTCTGTGGCAAGGATCAGCCTGAGGTGTAAACTTAATTTCTGCTCACGTTTTTTTCCGAGCCTTTCCCTGGTCATGTATGGTCACTTCCTAATTTCCCCTGTATATGCTGCTGTTTCTGAATGTCCTAGTCTTCGATGTCTGGCTCCCAAAGTGGTAAAACCAAAAGTGAAGGGGAGAAACTGGGTGCTCACCCTTTAAATCTCTGGGAGGTCTTGAGCTGGAGGGGTAGGGGCTGCAACAATGCCCCCCTCCTTTGTCTCCCTGTGATCAGAGCACAGATCCCTGATATGTGGAGGACAGAGTCCTTTTTGCCCACCCTAGCTCCTGCAAACTATTGTGTAAGTTGCTCCAGGACACCTGCACAGCAGCCTGCCCTGGGGGCTCAGGGAAGGATGGGTAGCTGCATCTGTTGTCAGAGCTGAAATTGACTGAAATTAACCACAATGTACTCTCCAAGTCTTCCCCTGGAAGTTGTTAAGACTTCAACAGACTTCAGAATTACAGAATGGTTACATCAGTCAGATTCTGCCAGTGCCACTGTTTTCCAGGTGGGGAGACAGATTCCCAGTGCTTCCTACCCCATGTTCCCAGAATCCTCTTTTCAGCTTTTAGCTGATCCCTTGGGAATCGACATCCAGGTGCATGCATAACATGCTCGCGCTGCTGCCAGATCAGTCCATGTTCCCATCACCTGATGACTTCCCAGCACGCGGATGAGGCGCTGGCTTTCTCCAGTCCCCACCCCTCACCTCGCCCAGGCCCAGGCCTCTCCCACCTCACCCGTCACCCTTACGTTGCTATTCTGTCCGCGCCTGTATTCAGAGTGTATGTTACCATGACCTCAAAAATGCTCTCAGGCCTTAGCAGTGACTTTTCACATCCTGCACGTTTCATTTCTTCTAGAGCTAACAGCTGCTTTTCCCCCCCTGGTTAACCACGTCCTCATTACTGACTCACCTCGCCACTGACTCTCCAAGTCCCTGGATATGTCCTGGGCAGCAACCAACTTCACCCTTCTGGAATCATCTCTCCTGTGGCCATATCTCAGTCCTGGGCTGATTCCATTTCCTGGAACCTAAGTCTTTCTTGGTTTACTCCCTCCTCCTAGTGGAACAAACCCTTTAGTAGCTTCCTGAGAAGGAGTGCATTGGAGGCAAGCTTCCAGAGACCTTGCCCATCTGAAAATCCTAACTTCCACTTGGGTTAGAGTTTTCCAATGACAGCCTGGGCTTGGGTCTGTCCTCCTCCTCTGTGTTGGGAGCTTGGTGAGTCCTCCTTGCCTAGTAATTTACGTCCATGAGGTGGGGGAATAGTTCTTATTTCTTTAAAAATTTCCTCCTCTATTTTCTCTGTTCTCATTTTCTAGAACTGTTATTCAGATATTGGCTGTCTTAGATTGGTTCTCTCATACTAGTCCCACTTTTTCCCTTTTCCACTGATTTCTAGAAAATTTCAACTTTGTCTTGCAACTTTCCTATTTAAAGGTTTCTTTCTGCTCTCAATGTTTCGATCTTCAGAGCTCCTTTTGGTTTTTGCAGTGTTCCTTTTTCAGAGTACACTGTTCTTGTTTCTTGACTGCAGTGTCTCATCTCTGATTATTACTGTGAAATTTGAAGCTTACTTATCCTTGAACAATGTTTATTTCTTCTAAGCGGCGATTTCCTGTTTGTGTGCTCTGTTCTCTGACTCCCATGTGGGAGATTTTTAGGGCTGTTCAGATTCTCTGGAGGAAACCCCTCCTGCCTGGTGCAGATACCTTTGAGTCCCAGCACTGAGGGAGCTGAGAGGGAACAGGAGGGCCCTCAGGCTTGGTGTGCAGTCGTGTAGCTTCACTCTTTCTGGAATGGTGCCTCCCCTCCCCACACACACACCCTGTGCCTGGCACAACTCTCCCCTGAGACCCTCTATTTCTACCCCCTGCAAAGAATAAAGGTCCATCTTCTGCCAGGGTGGCGGAGGGGCAGTCTCTTAGCCAGTTCTTCTGCTCAGAACTGCCCCCTCACTTCCAGGGGAACCTAGAGCTCTGCATTCCCAAGCCCTTTGGGGTCTGCGGTACAAACTGGGCTGTGCCTCAGCTTTCCTTTGTGGCTTCCGCTTTAGCTGTCTTGGATCACACCCCCACCTGTCTGCCAGCTCCTGGCACTTTGTGACTGTTCTCGCCATCTCATGGGGTTAAGCCTTAAAAAAACAATCCCTTATGCAGTACTAACAGGTTCTGGGAGGGAACCTGGCTCAAGGAACGTGAGTCTTCAGTTTTACCCAGAAGCCTCTACCTTCACTCTCCTTGTGGGGGGACTGAGCCCAGGGAAGGCAGAGGGTAGGTGCCGGGAGCCTAGACGCTTTCCGCACGAGCAGTGGGATGCTGTCCTGGCCCGAGTCCCCAGAGGGCTGTGGGCACCTGCTCTGCACCAGGCCCTGTGCGTAGATGCAGCTGAGCCTGTTTGATGTGGCTCTGTCCTTGGTGAGTGACAGCAGAGTCTGGCAGGAGATGCAGGGTCTATCAGACGGGCGATTAAAACCCCAACTGTGCCGAGTGCTGGGAAGAGTGAGAGAACAAGTGATGTCCTGAGGGGTGAGGACACGGTCCAGGAGGAGGAAACGGCTGTGCAAAGGCCCCATGGCTGAGACTCTGCTGAGGATGGGGGAAAGGAGAAGAGAGAGGGGTGGGGGACAGCATGAGGTGGTTCTGCTGAGGGGGCTGACCCGACCCTGCAGATGTCCGTCTATACTGGAGATGCAGTGGGGGGAGGGTGTTGCAGCCCAACTTGAATTTCCGGAGCATCCCTCTGGTTTCTGTGAGTCAAGGGAGGTCCTGAGCCGAGCGGGGGGCAGTGCTAGGGACCGGGCAGGGAAGGGGCCAGAGGGACTCGGTGCGCTGGAATGGGGCTGGGGGGCCTGAGCAGGGCTCCCTGGCAGCGCCCAGCGGGTATGTCGCAGCCTGGATTGTGTGGGCTGGGCTGGGGGTCCTGTGCGCCGAGGCAGGAGGGACAGAGCACTGAGGTGGGCAGAGAGGTGAGTGGGGCCTCAGGTGCGGCTGGAGGTGGGCGTTGGGGGGTGACACTGCAGGACCCAGGGGACCTGGAGATCAGGGAGGAGCGCTGTCTGTCCAGGTGTCGGCAGGGAGAGCAGGTGTTCGGTCCATCCAGGGTTGCGGGAGACCTCGGCCTGGAGGGGCTGGGAGGGGAGAGATGGGGGAGCCTGTGGCGGGGATGAGGGGGGGGCGGGGGTCCCTGGGGCAGCGAGCATGGCAGCCAGGAGGAATGAGAGGTCACAGGAGGGTGGGAGGTTGGGCCGGGCCCAGGACGGGCGCTGGGCCTGGGGTGGGAGGGACCGTGTGGCAGCACCTGGGCTGTGACGTTTTGGCCTGGGGAGCCGGTCCTCTGCACTCCCCCGTGCGGCAAGGGCCAGCCTCCGGGAACAGCTCTGCCCTCCTTCCCGCGGTGGCGGTGGCGGGGAGGTGGCAGCTCCGGGTGCGTTTATAGATAAGTGGGCCTCCTCGACTAGAGATAGCAGGTCGTAAAGACAGAGCGCTCTGAGAGAAGAGACCGCCCGGTGCCGGAAGCAGCGTCAGGGCTCGGGGGCAGCTTGGACGGCAGCCCCGCACCCGCTGTCCCCCTGTCCATAGGTGGCTGTCCGTGGCGCGGCCGCTCCTGCTGCCTGGGCGTCGGGCCACGCTGGCCCTGAGGCCTAGCGCCCCTGCGGTGGAGGCTTCCCTGTCCCGCCCCCCTGCCCCGCCACCCCGGGCGCTGAGGGATGGGGGGGGTGTGCAGGAGCCTTGAGGCCGCAGCCCACACCCAGCCTCTGACCCCCAGGAGATGGTGGACTGGTTCAATGCGCTCCGCGCTGCCCGCTTCCACTACCTGCAGGTGGCCTTCCCAGGCGCCAGTGACGCAGACGTGAGTGGCTGCTGCTGCTACCTTTGACCCGGGTCGGGGGACGTGTGCCCCAGGCTGGGACAGGGGATTGGGAGCCGATCCAGGGCCCACGTGGACCCCTCCCC